CCCTACATGTCACCCCTGGTGTGAGGGGGGGTGGGGGGGAATAGGGTATGTTGGGAGGTGTATATGCAGGGGTTGTGGGTGCAGGGTGTGGGTGTATGGTGTTTGTGGGGTGTGAGGGAGGGTGGTGGAGGTGTGGCACACTCCCACTCCCCTCATGGCACAACAGCAGCAGGTGGGGGTACCTGGGGTGCTCGTGCCTGGTGCAAGCACTGCTTCCCAGCAGTGCATGGATCCAGCCAGCTCTCCACATCGTGGTGAGAAACATAGGCTGCCTGGGCCACCTCTATCACCAGCACTCCCAGCTGCACACACAAAGCCCCCGCACTTGCACACGACGGGAGGGAAGCCCCATGCACTGGAGCTAACTGCCTTTCCTTCCCCCTGCTGCACAGGTCCTAGGACTCCGTGGGGAAGCAGGGGCTGGAGCTCCCCTCCACTGAGTCCCAGGACCTGCGTGGCAGGGGGCAACAAAGACAGCTGACTCCTGTGCGTGGGGCTTCCTTCCCGCTGCATGCAAGTGCAGGGGTTGCACCTGCATGGCAGGGAGCACTAGCGATAGAGGTGGCCCAGTGGGGCTGCAGTCCTCACCACGATATGCAGCACTGGTCAGAGCCACGTGCCCACCGAGCAGCAAATGCCTACACTGGGCATATGTGCCTCAAGCGCCCCCGCCTGCTGCCACTGCTACTGCCTGCTGGGGCTGCACACACTCCTCCTCCACTCCCCACTCACTCCTACACACCTACATCATGACCACCCAAGCTTCATGCTGCTGCCACCCCCTTGGGTGCAAACTAAGCACTGCTGCCAGCCCCATGCTCCACACTCCTACCCAGCTGCAGCTCTGCCCCTGCCCTTACCACTTCCCTACCTGTTGCCCAGAGCAAGTGGGATGCCAGGGAAGCTGAGCAGGTTCCCTGGCAGCTGCAGCAGTGGCAGCAGCTGCCCCACCTGAAAGCCACATGATGGCTGAGCTGGGCCCTTCTGCCCATGCAGGTGGGAGCAAGGAGCAATAGATGGTGGTGGTGGTGGGGTGGGATGTATACATGGGTACCTCGCTCCTACCCTCATGGGTGGAAGGGCTGGGCAGGGTACAGGTACTTGGTGGGCGCCGCAGACCAGATGAAAGTGCCTGGCAGGCCAGATGCAGCCTGCGAGCCAGATGCAGCCCACGGACCGTATTTTGCCTGCCCCTGCCTTAAAATATCATCAAGCAGAGCATTCCCCAGAAAGGTGGTGGACAGAATTAGCCATTAATAATGGATTTTGTCATACTTTGCCTTCTTTTCCTTCTCCTACCTGTCCCTTTTAAAAATTTGGAATTCACAAAATTCTTTATTCTTTGAAACAAACTGCGGACGTCACCCGAGCATGCAGTCATAACAGTTCGTTACCAGGAATCAGCAAAGATATTTGTGTTGGGTTTTAGTTAAATAAATGGCGTGGCATTGTTTCTTTTATATATATATGTGGCTTGTGTAACTAAGCAACACAGGACAAAGGCAAATGTTTAAATATTACAATCTGAGATACCCCTCACAATATTGCTTCTAGGACTTGATCCCTGGAAATTTTTGGTGCCTGCATTATTTTAAATGCGTGCTCACCTCCCATTGATTTCAACATGTTTTCCTGAATTTGAGTCTCAGTCAATAATTGAGCAGCCAGTGTTTTTCATTGTGCTGGTTTGCTTTATTCTGCTTAGGTTTGATTTTGTTTGGTTGGTTGGGATTTTTTTTTTTTCCTGCAAACAGCTGTGCCAGCAAAGCCAGGCGGCTTGAACATTCATAAAAAGGAAATGCTTCAAGCACGATTGTGACGGGACACGTGACTGTCTGTTGACATTTATTAAAGCTGTTTTCTCAGTCCAACAGTATGATCTGCTTGCTTAGACTGGGCCTCAGGACCCGAGTTCTCTTCCCAGCTGTGGCGGTTAGGTGACCCTGTGCAGATTCAATCACCTCTCTGTGCCTCAGTTTCCCTTTCTGTACAATGGGGAGAATGATACTGCTCTCCTTTTGAAGTGCTTTGAGATGTGCTAATGAAAAGCGGCACTTAAAAGCTAGGTGATATCATTACTAGTTGATTTACTACCTGCTTTTGAAAACAGAACACACAAAACCATTGGCATGTAGGGGTGGGCTTAAGAGGGTGAGTGTCTCTATATGCCACCATTCAGGAATTAAGACGTGATTATGTGCATGTACTGTATTGCTCGTATTTCCACATGATTATTAAAATGTTTCTCTTTGTCTTTCTGCAGCTGAATGCGGTTCATCTGTAACTGGAACACAGGGTGTTTTGCTATCTCCCAACTATCCAATAAACTACAATAACAACCACGAATGCATTTACTCCATCCAGACCCAGCCAGGAAAGGGGATCCAGCTGAAAGCCAGGACTTTTGAACTGGAGGCAGGGGATGTTCTTAAGGTAACAACTTGCTTTACTGGGATGGGGGGTTCAGAGAATTTAGAGATGGACATGCATACTGATAAAGGTTATTTTGAAAATCTTATCTGGGTTATTCCTAGTGTACTTTAAGCCCAAACTCCTTGACAGGTAAAGTGCAACTTCGTCATTGATGAAAATAGTTATCTTGAAGTTGATTCTCTAATGCTATTATTATTATTTGTCTAATGGAGCACAGAGCACCTCACCCCCTAGCTACAGATCCTGAACCTGAATGCTTGGTGCTGTACAAGCGTTAGATAAAAGCAAGACCTCTTCTCCCCAAAAGCTTACACTTTGAATTGTCTCAGTAGCATCTCTGGGAAATGGTATAGCTGTGTGTCTCTGAGAAAGCTGGAGATGTCATACAGTAATGTGGGGACAGATGTTTAGAGCAGTGCACATCTGGGTCTGTAAAAGCTTTGCATTGCTTGTGGCCATTAAGTTTTTAATGAGGCTTAACATGCAACAGAGAGCTACTCAGACTGAGTCAGCAGCACCAAGCATGAGGAAATATATGTAGGTAAAGCAGAGTACCTACTTCTAATTCTTGAGTGATTATTGAAATGCCCAAATGCTGCTGAAGAAGCTAGTCTAGTGGCATCTCCACTGCTGGGTGGAACCAAACTGGTTGATACTGAGAGATCTTGTTCTTCCAGGCTGCATTTAGATAAGAAATTAGAGCATTTGGCTTTTTTTATTTCCCCCCTGCAGATGTTTCACCAAACCTTTTGAGATTCAGATCTCAACCCCTTGGTTGTATATTTGCCCTCTTTCCTTTGCTTTCTGTTTTCAATGTGGATTTGTTCCTGGTGAAATATGTTGAGCTGACAGTCCTGGAGACTGTACTGTACTGAACAGGCAGTGGCAGTATGGGCTTCCACCAAACTGTCCAGAAACTGTCCTCTCTGTACCACACAGCCACAAGGAGTAGGGTAGCAGAGGGCATTTGGTCTTCAGATCTGTCTTTCAGCTGGGGCTTCCAATAAAGCAGCCCTTCAATGCTAATACTGGTCTGGTTTTAATGTTTGGAACTGTCTCCCAAATAGCTTTTAGATATGTTCCTTCTTTGGCAATCCCTAGCAGTCGAGGATGATTGTCTTCAATGATTGTCTTATCTGTGGGTCTGAACATGGCTGACGAGGCCCATCTGGTGCAACTCAAGCATGTGTTTCCATGCGTGGTGGGTGGCTCCGGGTCCTTGATTAGGTCCACAACCCGCGGTTTCTGCCACTCCCACTTTTCCATCTCCTGTTGTCATTATAAGGTTCAAAGTACGGATATCCTTGCAGCAGACTCTTCCTCCATTTGGGGCAGTCTTGGGCAAGAGTCTTTCACGAGTTGATGTCGATCTTAAGTTTTTTCAAGCTAGCCTTGAGAATGTCCTTGAAATGCTTTCTCTGCCCGCCTCTTGAGCGTATGCCTTGACTAAGCTGGGGGAATACAACTTGCTTTGGCAGTCTGGAGTCCAACATCCAGATGACATGCCCAACCTAGCAAAGTTGATGCTAGATGATCATCACCTTGGTGCTTGTGGTGTTTACTTGTGAGAGGAGCTAATGCTGTTGTATCTATCTTCCCACTGGATTTGAAGGATCTTCTGCAGGCAGCCTTGGTGGTACTTCTCCAGTGACTTAAGGTGTCGCCTGTACATTGCCCATGTCTTACCTCCATACAGTAAGGTGGGAATCACAACAGCTTTATAAACCATGAGCTTGGTTTCACATCTGATGTCGCGATCTTTAAGCACCCGTCTCCTCAAGTGTCCAAAGGCTGCTCTTGTACATTCAAGGCGAAGCTGGATTTCTTTATCAATGTCAGTCTTCTGTAAGAGATGGCTTCCAAGGTACGGGAAATATTCAGTGTCCTCCAGAGTCTCACCAGGCATCTGAATTACCGGAGCTGGGGACTGCTTCTTAAGAGCTCGTTGATGTAGCACCTTAGTTTTCTGAGTGTTAAGCATCAGTCCCATTTTCTCATATGCCTTGGTAAAGACGTTGGCAATAGCCTGAAGGTCTGCTTCTGAGTGAGCATACGCTACAGTACCACCAGGAGCTTGATGACTGAGGTCAGGGTAGTCTTGGTTTTGGTTTGGAGTCAGCTGAGATTAAACAGTTTACCACAGTAAGGAAGATCGAGAAGAGTGTCGATGCAGCCTTGCTTAAGTCCCATCTTAACCTCAAAGGGATCTCTGATAGATACTATAAATGCATAGCTATCATGGTAATTACCATGATGGTAGTTAGGGATGTAGCTGGTTGATTATGAAAGACCTGACCCCTAGCTCTTGGAAGCCAGTTGAAAGACTTCCATTAACTTCACACTTTAAAATTAAAAAAAAAAATGCAGCTGAGCCATTGCAATGTCTATGGTTGGCAGCCCCATGTGAGGTTAGTGAGGTGCGAAGGGTCCTGTTGTAGTGGTGAAATAATATCTTGCAGGCTGTGGATACCGGATAATTAACTTGTGTCACTGCTATGCCATCATTTGCAGTTCCCAGGAACAGACTAGCACACATATTTTAGCCAGTCGAAAGCCTCAGGACAGCTAAACTTCACCAATTCACACTTCTGTCCGAAAGAGTCATCGCCCATGCCTGAAGTTTATATGCTGGAAGTATGTGTTGCAGAACAAGGCATTCCTCAGCAGGGTTGGGAAGTGCAGAGCTACCGTGAACACGGTGCTGCCTTCTGCCCTTTAAACTTACCCATAATATTCTTTCTGACATCTCCTCAAATAGTCAAGGTTAAACCAACATTTACACAGTACAATCTGCTTGTCTCCTCCTAACGCATGTGTCAGTAAATTCTATATTATGTAAAATCCTAAAAAATACTAAAATAATATTAAAAAACATTTAGTAACAATGATGTAACTTCTGTTCAGTATTCTCGGAGAGGTAGGGAGAGACCTCAGTGCTGTATGTGAACACTTTGGTGGGCTTTAGATTAGCAAGAGTTGACTGAACTCACAAAAGGGAGTAGAAATAGCCGCCATGGAAAACTAATGGGCTTTCTTCTTTTTGTTCTTTTAAGGAAAATATTCTTATCTTGGAGTAAGTAAATAGCTAGAGAGGGGCTTTAATCTCTCAGTTTTAGACACCACACAGAGTAGCAGAAATTGCACAGTGAGCAGATACGTGTCGAAATACACATTAACGGGGGGAAAAACAGCTTCATCTCAGCGATTTGCTGGAACGCTATGGGGGCCTTCCTTGCAGCAAAACTTTCGTTCTTATCTGCACCGCTGTACAGCAGAGACTGTGAACACGAGGTCCTCAGTATTATTTGTGTGCATCTAAGAGGCCAGGTTGATCTGCCAAAAAAAACCCCGATTATTTAAATGCAAAACTCCCAAGCTCTTCAGCATCTCAGCACCCAGCGTTCAATTAATCTGTGCTTACAAGTTTCAGGGCTGTCTATAGAGAGAGGCAAATCCAGGCTGCGTTATATTACCCACAAAGAAATGCTTTTTGTAGGGACTATTATTACAAGTTGTGTGCTGCTGTGCTAAGCCATCTCCCCTGCAAATGTCTCTGTCCTTATTTAAGGGCTGTACTTACACAGTAAGTAGGCTTAATCCACACACCGTCTCCTCGCAGACTTGCTGGCAAGAGAGAGATTTCCAGCTAATGCAAAGAATGCATTGGGCAGTCAAGTGCTAGCCTTGTCTAACCCGGTCTCATGCCACTTCCTACCAGCTCCCAGGGAAAATTTCCTCCAAGCCTTCATTATTGAGAAAGTGGCTTGTGCCCTTAATCAGGAGGGTTCATTTCTCTTCAACCCTCACCCCCCCAGTCTTGCTGGTGTATTTATTAGCTTTAATAAGCTCTGATTTGCAATAGAGCAGTGAGCTAGTCAAAGGGGCATGTTCTTTCTGATCTAGACTACACCAGTTTCCAGGAGAGAAGATTTCTTTCAGGTCATTCAGTAACCCTGTGATGAGCCTGCTATAAGCACCTAGACAAAATAACAGGTATTTTTCTGGGCTGCCAATCCACTACCATTAAGGAGCAGTATAACAGACTAGTTGTAAAAAAAATTAAAAATAAAATAAAGAGACCAGTGGTTTAGGGGGTGTAATTCCTGCAGCTTCAAAGGAGTTGCTTCCATTTACCTGTGCAGAGGCTTTGGCCTCACAGCTCCTAAGTGGTACGATGTTTCATTTTGGTTTTGGTGTGTTTTTTCATTCTAGGTCTATGATGGTAGCAATAATTCTGCTCGCCTACTGGGCTCCTTTAGCCGCTCCGAGATGCTGGGCACGAGTATAAACAGCACTTCCAGCAGCATGTGGCTTGAGTTCATCACCAACAGCGAGAACACAAGTAAAGGCTTTGAACTACAGTTTTCAAGTAAGTCCCAGACTGCTTGCTCATGGAATAAGCACCATTATTCGAATTATACTGGCACCTAGGAGCACAGTCGAGACAACGGTCCCATGGTGCTAGGCACTGGACAAACAGTTAGACATGGTTCCCACTCCAAAAGTCTTGCAGTCTACAAAGCATGGGAGATGACCATTATTATCCTCTTATTACTAAGAGGCAGATGAAGTGCAAAAAGATTGGTCTGCACTTTGAAGCTTGCCAGGATAGCTGCGCTGGTGAAGGGCATTGGCAGGGGGGATGAAAAACGTGCTTGGCATAACCTGCATCTCCAGTAGGAGGGATTATGGGATAGTTCCTTCCAGAGTAGATCTGCAAGAAACCTGTCCTAGTATCAACCCATCGGTAGTGACTTTCTGGCTTGCTCATAGGAAGTCTGCAACAAAGCTGGGAATTGAAGTCTTCAGGTTCTCAGTCCACTCTCTAAATCATAAGGCCACCCTTCCTTTAACGCTTCTTCCCTGTTAGAGAAAAGATGCAAGTCTGAAGGAGAGCAGTCCCATGTGGGCCTGCAGCGGCTCTCTACGTTACCAGTTATTAACATATTCCAGCTATTGAGAACAATTCCCTCTTGCCTTGTACCAGGTTTCGAGCTCATTAAATGCGAGGATCCCGGCATCCCCCAGTTTGGCTACAAGGTCCACGACGAGGGACATTTTGCAGGCAGCTCCGTGTCTTTTAATTGTGATCCTGGCTACACGTTAAGAGGCAGCAGGGCGCTCGTCTGCTTGATGGGTGAACGCAGAGCTTGGGACCAACCACTGCCAGTGTGTGTAGGTAAGCCGCTGTCGTTTTGGTTAGGGCTGTCTTTGCAGATCCCAGCACAGAGCCTTCCTCCGACCCAGCCAATGCACTCATCTGAGGCAGACCCTCTTGGATGCAAACACAGACAATAGCAAAGATCCCTTGCTACTCATCCCTTTATCAGACCTCAGTCTTATGAATATAGATCAGGAGCATGAAGCTATGCCAGCTTCCCGCAGGTGTCTCAGGCCTGACCTGAAGCACCCTCTGCTATTGTTTTCAGACTGAGCCCATCAGCAAAGCTCTGCTAATGTCTCTCATTCCTAGTCTATATTCCTGCTATTCCTTAAACACGCCAAAGTGGAGGGTGGTTTCCCTATGGTGGCAGGCATCATCTGGGAGTTGGTTTGGAAAGCACAAAGCCTTTTTCATTTGAGAGTTGCTGAAGGTTACATCCCATAGTCTCCGTCGCATTACTTCTCTTATTGTGTTTCCCCCCGCAGTTCCTGAGGTATATGCTCATTCTCTTACTACATCACTTGCCTGAACAGCAGAGTCTGAAAACTCATATACACTCAGTATTAAACCTTAACACTCCAGCATTCAAGGGCAATTCTTAAAATCACTTGCAATTTAATCTGTTGCATCTTGTGGTATTTTCAATTACATCCATTTGCTTTTGAAGCTGGGATAACAGTGTGCATAAATGGATGATAGCTGATGATATTGAAGTGCCCTAAACATGCCAAATGGTATACAGACCTCTCGAGAAAACAGTAGTCTGCTTCATAAGCGCTTTAAATATATAAAGGTAAAGACAGGAGACTGGAAAAGCAATATATGCAAAGTGCTCAGAAGACAACTGACAGAGATCTGAGCTTCATGCATGCTAATGGCCGTTTCGTATTGTCCTTATTATTTCCTCGCTTTTTGATTTGCAATTGCAGATGTCCATGTGAATACATAAAATGTGCTCTGTGCATGCAGATCAGAAGGCCTTTCATATTTTTGACCCTAGGGATGACATTTTCAGACATTTTCTTGGTTGGCCTGGGCTATTTCCATCCAAGTTAAACTTCCAGTGGTGCTCACACTCTCAATGGCTGTGATCAGAACAGAGTTCAACTGGTGCCAACTGATTTTCAAAATCTTCCCCCAGTGAACTCGCAGGCTCTTATGAGAAGAAAGGCCTGCTCGGTCTGCTAAATGCAGGGAGTTGTTTTATCCCCAAGAAAGTTGGCTGCTTATCATTGTCAAGCTTATCTTCATCAAAAGCCAGATGTTTTGGACTTTAGTGCAGTCACAGAATATAGACCAGGTTGTACACCACAAGAATCGCAATCTCGGTCTCTAGAGTCTGAAAAAAAAACCAATTAAAAAAAATCAAACTGCAACAAGCTGAGGCCCAAGAACAGATGTGCACATGTGGACAATCATGGCAAGCCATTTAAACAACACAATAAAACAACAGACCCATTTCTTAATGGCAAGATTGGTATCCCCATCTGCCAATAAAGAAGACATACAGCACTGTCACAATTGACTGCATAGCTATTGTGAAGGTTATTACATGGTAACTCTAAGGTAACTTGGTTGAAAATGATAGCAATTAAAAGTGCTATCGACACATATCCAAAGGGGACAAAGCGCCAAGAAACATACTGCAAGGGACAGTCTTGAATTGACTTGAAGACATAACAGATTATTTTGCCCTTTAGCTGCTATGTCATAAAGCTATGACATATCAATGACCTGTTCACTGCTGTCCTAAACTCCATAATTAACCAGCATTTTCAGTGCATAACGAAGTTCTTGGAGTACTGTTCTCAACAATCCCCGAGTCATTTTCAAGGTCAGAAATAACACATGAGGATTATGGTGGCACAGAGGTCTCATTAGCCGGGAACACGCTGCCTTCCTCTTATTCAATGACCCTGTGCCGCATCTTAGCTCTTGTAGTCAAGAGGTGAAGTCCACGTGGTTATAATCCAATAATGTTCTCAACCTTTACCCTTTCTGCAGGGGCTCTGTGTATATCTTGCATGTGCAGGTAGATTCATAGGATTTATGAAAACATGCTGTAGGGTAGAACAAAGTTCTTTACAAGTTCAGTTTGAAGGGGACAGATGAACTGGCTCTATGATGCTGATGAAAAAAGATTTTGGACATACAAACAGAGGCATCTCAACTCACCCCACAGCTTGTCAATTAAGGACAAGTGAATATAAATGGGCTCTCCATCCAGGCACTGCACAGGCAGAGAGTGCAAATATTTTGTCGTCTGCTGTGAAAGTGCTTCAGGTTTGTAGGGACCTGAACAAAAAAATGCAGAGTAGCCAGGCCAGGTGACTCTCATTAATACTCTGTAGCAATCACAGGCTGACGTCTGCATCTGTTCCTAGTTGCACTGCAAATTAAAAGTTACCTTTGGAGAGAAGTAAAGCACTGTATTTAGTGTTGCTGGATACATGGGACCAGAAGACACTGAACAATGTGCTTAATTTTTTCAGCTGAGTGCGGGGGCACTATCCGAGGAGATTCATCTGGGAGGATATTGTCTCCGGGGTATCCCACTCCCTACGATCACAACCTCAACTGCATTTGGACAGTCGAGGCCGAAGCTGGTTGCACAATAGGGTGAGTTTCAGACCAAGTACTGAGTCTGTTTTCCTGCTTGCTTTTTCCCCTGGTGCTCTTTGCAGGTGAAGCATTGGCTACAGTGTTTAGGCTGTAGTCAAAGTTGGCTTAAGGGATTTGGCTGCACAATTGCTAGTCGGCATCCAAACCCCCTAGGCATCACAGAAGATCCCACCTCTTATTTTGCTACAAGGGGGCTGGGTTATGCACAGTTTTGCTAAATTCATGCTGGGTAGATGTAGTGTTTATTGCTTGTCTTTTTTTCCCTTTTGCTGCGTCTCTCTTTCTAGAAGCAGATCGCTAATTATGTAAAGAGGCTAGAGAGAATATAATTTCACTTGGAGAGTCACAAATGAGCCAGCCAGCACTTGCTTACCTCCCTGCCAAGACAGGTGGAAGCTGCATCATTTTCCCCCCCATTTTGGCTTCCATTACTTTAATTTATATCCCCTATACGACCTGTCTCAGAAACATGGTTTATGGTTAAAAACATCTGTCGTGTCATGCTGTGGAGAAGGCCCGGTTATTTGCTGCTGCTGCCTGGCATTATGGCTTTATTAAACTTTCATCTGTTAGCCTTCAATCCTGTATCTGCGTGCAGGGCAACAGCTTCTTCCTTTATTTTCTTTTGGGACATAATCCAGAGTTGAAACTAAGGCTCTGCTCCTGAGAACTGCACTGAGATTTCCCAGTAAAATCTAGCCTGCCTCCAGGTACATTGTTTTACAACAAGGATTTGTTCATGTGTCCAAGAGCCTCTAAGATTATATCTTAGCCAGGGATAATGCTAAGCAATTATAGACTTGGTGCAAGTCAAGTGAAGTCGATGGAGTCGCACAGGTGTAACATTGGGTTCCCAGATGTGAGCCGCAACTGGACAGCTGGAAGGAGGCAATTGCAGCACATGGCTTTCTTTTATTGTAACTTCATTCTTTTATGGCTTTAATAATACAAAAAGAACATACCAAATGTAATTATCTTCCCTACGGGAAGGTTTAAGATGGTTTCCCAACACCTGGCCGGTCCAAAGTCATAAGAAAGTTTCCTCCTTCTGCTTCTCTGACTTTTCTTATTGCTCTCTTACCACTTTGCTTTTGTTAATTGCAATTTAAAATTCAATTTGCCCAAGTTTTTAAGTTGGTATACAAATGAGGCAGGGTACTTGAGTGAAAGTGCTGAGAACACTGCCTCGCAGGCTTTGTGCAGCCACTAGCAGGCGTGTAAACTTCTGCTTCGCAAAATATTGTTTGAGATCCGTAGCGCACTGCCTGTATTGAATTCGGGCACTTCTGAATTTCTCATACTGAGGCCTCGTCAGACCAGCTTAATATACCCCTGTGCTTATGCAGATATTCCTATCAAGCTAGAGCAGCTTTTCATAGAAAACCTGTAAAACTACTTGCCAGTACACATTGGGTTAACTAGCAGGAGGAGAAATAATTCCTGGAGAATTTATGCAGTGGTATTATGTTGACCAGCTTTTCCATTAACCAGTCATTTTGATTTGCGCTCCTTCCTGTGGCATTTCTGACTGCTTCTTCTAATGATACTGCTATCCGGCTCTAACACCCCTGTTATTCCAGTTCTGCATTCTCCTACTGCTCTCTCCTGACCTGCAATATCCCTGCTACATCAGCACTGATCTTCTCTGCAACAGAGCCTGTTAATCCTGTCGAGCTGTGTGCAGTGCTTTTGTTCAATAGATTTATGCCAAGGTGAATTTGGTCCAGGATTTTTAAATGCAGAAATTCCCCGTGTTCATTTAGTTTTTGTGAATTGATTCAGTGATGGATGGTCTCTGGAATCAGCATACCAGGCAGAGTTCAGCCAGTGGTCTCCTAATTGGATGCATGGGAGACTTTCCATGGAAACTTTTCAGCAAAGGCTTTTCTCCTTTTTCATCCTTTTGTAAAAGCCTTGGGAGACCTTTGGATGCCCCCATCAGACAATGATGTCTTTTCTTTGAGCTTATCTCCGCTGATGTCTTTCTCGCATCCTTGTTGCAGTCAATACATTCCAATTAACATGTACATGCTCCACCACTATTAATAGCACCTGTTTGCTTCACCTCTTGGTGATTTAGATGGTAATCGCTGCCTCTGGCCCTTCTTTTAAGTTAGCACCAGTGGAAGCAGACATAAATTGCAGCAGTATCTTTTTGCTGCAAAGTAACCAGTCTAGGTGGGAAGTAAATACATAAATGTGAATTTAGAAAACCCGTAAAGGCACCAGCTTGATGCCCCAAGAGACTGAGGTGTGCTATACTCCTCTGTAGAACAGACACTGCCCACCTAGCTGGCATGATAAGGCATCGGAGGTGAATATGACCCTCTAAAGACCCAGTCCTGCAGCCTCATCCCTGCAAAGAGATACTCTTCCATCTTCATCGCCTAAGGCTTTCAATGCAAATCTACAATCACAGACCTTTACTTCCACAGAAGTCCAGAGGCCTGATTCTCACTTAACTTGGAGCCCCTTTACATCACTCTGCCAGTGAAAAGCCATGCTAATATGGAACTACATTGAATTTACCTGTGTGGATTTGATTGTACAATCAATAAGAGAGACGTGGGTACCAAAGAGTGTCGGATGTCTGACTTAAAGCACATGTCGCTGACTCCCATTGAATGGGAAGGACCCAAATGGGATATGTCGTGTGCATGTATGGCAGGAGCCGCCAGTGGTTTGCCAGGGGGCAGGAAGAGTGTGAAACCACAGCGGCAATCATATAATATACCTTGTAACCCTCCCTTTCATCCCACATGAAAGCACCCTCTTCTGTTCTTTTTAAACACCTTCCTTTTGCAGCTCAAACAGAAAGTGATGATCTCTGGGTTGTTGAGAGAGCAGATTTCCAGCAACTTCATTTTTATGGTAATCCATTGGAAAAATAATCCTCTTCATGCATGATACAATTGTATAAAGCCCTCATTTATAACTTCCATTAAAATTAATCACCAAAGCTTTTGAATAAGGCTGTATCTGCGCAGCAAGAGGAGGAGGAGGATGGGGAAAAAAAGGAAGGCAAGCAGGAAGGAAGGAAAGAGCCTGCCCGTTATTTCAATGAACGTACAAGGATTGCACCTCAAAGGGGGATTAATCATGTGCACACACAAAACTACTCCGTAACGTGACAACTAAAATGCCTTTGCTCTGGTAAAACAGCAGGGGTGCACATTGGAAAACAAATGAAATGTTTCTCCAGCAACTGCTCGGCTGGCTGGGAGCGGCCTGTGAATATACTGAGTCAGAAATGGCAGCGGTGGTTTATTGTTTAGCAGCAACCTCAGTGTCGTAAGAGAGTTTATTGATATTGCTAACCCTGGCCTAATGAACAGTGCTGTATTGACAGGTCCATTTTTCAAAGTCTCATCTAGAAATATGAGTGGAAATCTCTAGATGTGTGGCTTTGCTTCACAGGAGGCTTCTGGGGGCGCATATTTAACCATGCTTTTTTTGCACTGTGCTGCAAGGGAAATAGAAACCGCCCCAAACTACTGACTCGCAAGGCTCCAACCTTAATCTGAGGCTTGAACCTTTTGTTGGCGGGCTATAAATCATTAGTGTTGCTGTTGATCTGCATTCTGCTGCCTCAGTCACCCCAGGAGGTGAATTAATTGAATTGCCTAAGCCAAGCAGCATTGAGTAGGGCATGTGTGAGGATGGGAGACCTAGAAAACTGCAGCCCGGGAGAGTGCGGGCTGAGTCGGTGGCACGCCACTAGTGCCCAGAGGCCAAATCTAAGATCAAGAGTATGGCTTTGTGGGTGCTTTACAGTACACAAGAGACAGTCCCTGCCTGTTAAAGTAGTTAAAACAAATGGGGGGATGAAGGGGGAATAGACAATATTATCCTCAATCCCTAGGTGAGAAGCATAGGCACAAAGGGATTAGGGGCCTTGACCAGGGATACGTAAGGAGACCGTGGTAGGATTGGTCTCTGCCCATACTGGAGGACCCTAACCCACTTTCAGCATAGGCAGAGCTCTCCCAGCCCGGCATTTCCCCATGCAGTTTGAGGAAGGGGATGGCTTTAACATCATATCCACTGATCACCTCCCTGCCTGTTCCCATCAGTGGTGCTTGGGCTCTTGCCTTTTCCATTTCAGACCATGTCTCCAGTGCAGCAGCTCTGGGCAAGGTTCCTTTCTCTTGCCGAATCAGCGCCTCGTCTACAATTTCCTAGTACCCTTAAAGCCACCTAGGCTAAGTACAGACATTTGGGGAGGTTAAATCAGGTTCAAAATGGCCACCCGATTTAAACTTAGCTCATCCCGGTGCTGACCTTACGGTTCTAGGCTCAGTCTCAGTGACCAGCAATCAGTCTCAACCTGTAACTGTACAGAAGTTCAGTGCACGCAAACCGGTCTAAAAATTGCAGAACCCCGTTTAAGATAAGCCTAGGTCTAGATAGTAACAAACTTATTCAATTTAGGTCAAACTGGCTCCCCCAGCCCATTGTTCCCTCCCCATCCTGACCAGCCAGCCCTCTTAGCCCCCATCCCACAAGCCGCTCTGGGTGCAGCTGCTTTTATCAGTATTTGCTGCTGCCAGAGCAGAGCAAGTAAGTCCCAGTGGGGGGAGGAATGGGGGTGTAGATTGGCTGGCCAGGGAGGAAACCCCACCCCACCCATGGGTCATGCCTGCCCCCCCACCACTCCTCA